CACCCCCCGGGAAAAAAACAAAAACAAAAAACAAAAAAAGAGCCCCAAGAAAAAAGAAACAAAAAGCCCAGTCACAGTAAAAATCAAAGTTGGAACCTCCGAATTGAAGGAGGCCCTGCATGAATTTTTCTCATGGTTTCTACTACTCATCCTTGTATTTATGCATGTATACGAAGTTCAATGCTGCCCGGATGTGTAATAATATTAAACTATGTGACCAAGTAGACAGGTTGCAACAGTCACTCTCATAGAATAAAAAGATGTAAAGGCAATAGGTTGAGGAAGTCATAAAAAGTCCAATATAGGATCATACACCAAGCTCAAATTACGAACGATTATACAGAACATATACATCTTTGATAAGGTTAAATGGTTAAGGTTTGCATGTTCAGTATGCTTAGAAACAGTCCAGTCAGAACACAAATTTATTTTCATCCACATTGACAGAACAATTAACAAATTTATATGTTATATATCTAGAATGGGATTTTGAATTTCACTAAAAACAATGTGTTGTAATTTTAATATAGTTTTACATATAAACCTTAAGTTACACCAATCATATGTCCAGTGTTAACAGCTAATAGTCAGTACAAGATTATCCTACTACTCACACAAACTCTACAAACAAAGAAAACAAAGAACAAACCCTTCCACTCAAGATATTAGTTCAGCCTAAATATTAGTCAATCAAAGAACATTATACTTCTATCTTCAATTGAAAAATTAAAAATGATCAAGGATTCACTCCCAGCTCATCACTGCTTATATTGCGTTCAGTTTCCTATTTCACATCATTTCTATGTCATTTCCTTCCTACATCCTAAACAGAGTTTTATGGATCAAACACTGAAGTACTTAAAATGAGTTACGAACTCCAACTAAGAATAAAAAATGTATAATACTACAAGTCAAAGAAACAAAAAAAGGTTAACTGACAATTCTCCAAGTCAACAGATCCAATCCCCTTCATTATAGAAGTAACCTCTCCTAAACAATTCAGACTAAAAAGGAAGGAAAAACAACAGTATTGAAGCAACAACTTATCAGAATAAGGATTGCAAATCTACAATAGTTCTCCTACCCAAAAAAAAGTGCAGAAAATAGAATTATTCAATGAATGCAAAAACAAAAAGTTATCATATCATTTCAAGATAATATTTCTCTAACTCTACTTTGCATTATCAGTTGGTATTCCCCTGAAAATCACAGATCAACTAAATTCAAACAAAGCAAAAAAAGGGGAAAAAAGAAAGCTTGGGTTCTTACTCCAAAATTTCACTCCAAAATAGCAGCAGCACCAATCTCCTTCAACTTCGCAACAATCCTCTCGGCCTCCTCTTTCAAAACTCCCTTCTTGATCACCACCGGCGTTTTCTCCACCAACTCCTTCGCCTCCTTCAGCCCTAAATCAGTGAACGCCCTCACTTCTTTAATAACCTTAATCTTCGCTGCGGCCTCGAACTTCTCCAGTTTGATATCGAACGCCGTCTTCTCTTCTTTCTTCTCCTCCGCTGTCTCCAGTTTGATATCGAACACTGTCTTCTCTTATTTCTTCTCCTCCGCTGTCGGTTCTCCACATGCAGGGCCCGTGGCGTAGGCAGCATTGAGGCCGAAGGCTAGGACCCACTGGGTGAGGCCCAGCTTGTGGCGGAAGAGGGTCGAGTAGTCTTCGCGCTCGGCCTTTGTGAGGGCGAGGAGATCGTCGGCGATCCGGTTGAGCTTCTGGTCTCGGGATTCGATGGCGGTGGTGCCGCCGGAGGCGGTGGAGAGGAGGCGGAGGAGGGGGCGGCGAGGGATTTTGGTGGTGAGAAGGGGCATTTTGGGGAATCAGGGTTTTGGGGAGCTGTGATTGGGGGTTTTAGGGTTCAATCGCCATTGGAGAGGGAACAAGGTCTTAGGGTTTCGGGTGGAGGGGATTCGGGTTCGTTTCGGAGTCAAACTGGACCCGCTTAGCCGCTTTGGTGAAGGAAATACATGGGCTTTGTCTGGATTGGATTCTTAATGGGCTCTTTGATACTCGGACCTTAGCTGGCATCGGCCCAAAAAATATCAAATGCGAGCTAATCTATTAAAATAAAAAAATCAATGACCCTAATTCAAGCTCGTTTGTAAACGCACGATTTATCACGTCCAGTGCTTATTCCATAAAGTCCTATCATTATACATACTTTAAGCAACTCTCCAACACCATACATATTGGTTACAACAGCTTTTCTCGCAACAATACTTAACATTTGTATTCATAAGCTTTAATCAAATCTGGGTCCTACTGTACATCCAAATGCTTTGCGACGAGATTCACAGCCACTGAGTACATAATTTAAACTAGCAACTATAACAAGCTAGCATTCTTCTATGTAGACAACAAGACGCTATAAAACATACTATAAAACATAGTGGAGTTTCGGTGAAACACAATACTGAATGTTCCCTGTTCTTTTATTCACGAATGTAAGGTGACAGGATTCCTCATTCATCCTCTTCTTCACTTTCTTCGCTGTCCTCCAACTTCAAGTGGTTCAAGTTCTCTTCCAAAGGTGGAAGTCCATCTTCTGAATCGTAATCAGATCCAAGACCGGCTTTTGAAGGCGCCTCCTCAGTTCCTGCAGTTTTAATACACCTCTATTACAATGATCTTGGATTGAAAACTTTTAAGAATCATGTTGATGAAAGCATTAATGGACTGCAAGCATAATATATACCTTCCGTGTCCGGAAGTTGTTTTGGAATTCTTGAGTTATTTGAAAGCCACGCGTTTTGGACCGAGATAATTTCTGAACCTGTCTCACATTTGGAGTAGGCCTTAAGTAGTTCTCTGCAAGCAGGGATAAATATTGTAAGTGTACCAAAGTGAATAACCACAAATTTCACATGAACCCAGATGAAAAATGATAGACTTTGCACCTGGAAATAGGCTGGAGATCAATGAGAACAAGGGGTTTGTACACTAAATAAACTTAAAAGTTAAAACTATCTTTTGTCATAATTGCTGACTTTGTTTTTCAAGAGGATTGTATATGATGCCAGATTTCCTGACTGGGGTCGAATACATGCAAGAGAGGCTTCTTTTCATGAACCTCGAAGGGAGAATTAAACATAGATAAATAGGCACCGAGATTAAAAAACCAAAGTGTAAATTACATGGGGGAACCCCTAAAGTTTCATTCGCCTTCGACCTTACATATAGAATCTTAAACTGATTCTTTTCTACAGATAAATGCTTAATTCATCTTTCACTCTGGAACCACATAGTAGTAGAAGAAAAGGTGAAAATTAACAAAGTTCCTTCTTCAATTGAAATACAAATATTTATTTATATTTAACAAATAAATTACCAAGCTGGCTGTAGAAGGATAAAACACAGCCCCCAATGGTGGGATCATCGTGCACTAGGGCCCCTCTAGAAGGATGAAGCAAAGGAGAAAGGACTGCTAGTAATGGTGTTATGTAATGGATAACTATTGTTTTACAAAAGATAACGGTCAGGCAAGCTCGGGGCCTTAGGTAGTGGTATCTATCTCAAGAGTAATTCACAACTTACGAGAACGTTAACTTTCTGGGTTCTAAGAAGGATCTGCCATACAAAACTGCAAAACCTTGACATGAATTATATTTGGACGTACTTGATAACTAAAAACCTACCTGCCAAATTATTTCGACCTTTGAAATTAGACTCAAATCCTGATCCTAATACATGAAACACTGCTCTTTTTTAAGTGAGACACATCTCAATATTGTGAGCGGGCGTCCAAGTGACTTCTTGTGCTGTACACATCTAGCATGCCAAAATTTGTAGAACAAAGTGTCCAGGTTATACTGCATGTATGTCTGTAATTATGTTAGGGTGCATGTCATCATTGAAGTCTGAGCCGCCCAATTATGTCCTCTTTTGATATTAGCCTTCACCGGTTTCTAGATTTTGACTTGTTCACCACAGGAGCCCAATATTGCAATACAGTAATCAAATCATCATGCTATGCCAAATTTCAATGCATTAATAAACGAAATGCAAAAAATTTCATCCAGTTTGCCAGCCTCAAACATGTCATCAAAAACATTGGATGCATTAATATACATCATCTACTCACTACTTTCACATTCAAGCAACTACCTAACGAGATTTACCCTACAAGGAAAATACTACAAAAGTCCATCAATTTTGCGCACACACACACAAAGGAAAAAGTAAAGGAAGAAAGAGACGGAAGGAGGGAGGGCTAGACTGTGGCAATAAGAAAAAGATCATAAATTCATTAAGCATATGATAGTGTCTTCTCTTTATATGAAATAACCAGTAATTGGGTATAAATCAACTAGTCCCTAGGTAGCACGGACATGGTCACGGATGCAGATACGGACACAGGACAAGGCAAATTTGTAAAATGTAGGATATGGGACACGGATACACACACACACAATTATACATACATGATCAATATTTGAATGAAAATACCAATAATATTTGTATGTTTCTTTTTATTATCGATACCAATTAAAAATCTAGTTAAATCAAACTAAGAATAAGGTTTAACAATAAAAGTTTAGTTTTGACTGCATGGGATAACATGATGGGTGTTTTTCAAATATTTAAGTAATGGATTTCAATTTTCGGGTTAAAAAACTAATTGGTTCTGAATCTGATATTACGAGGGAAACTAGTTTAGAGTATAAATAATGGGGAAATCAAGATTTTCTATGAACCACATGTGTCCATGGCATGTCTGCGGAGAGTCCGTGTCCGACACACGGCACCTAAAACACCATGTCCGTGTTACCATGTCCGTGTTACCCAGGTTTATGCTGCATGAAGAAATAGAAATCTTTTCTTTTAGGTTAAAAATCTGATAGCATACCTGTTCAGTGACAAGAATGAGTGGCCCCATTTGAATTTGCTTAATATCAGATTCCCTGTATCCTCTTCCCCACTGTGAAGGGATAAAAAAAGGAGCCAGGCATTAAACACAAACTTATTCGAATTCCAAATGACAGTATTCTACATAGCAGAACTTGAATAAGGCTCAAGGTTGTAAAGTTACTAAAGTATATACTTCAATAAATGAAAATATCGCTTCATTTTTACATTTTAAAACTGAAACAGATGAAGTTTAATAAAACAGTAATAATGACATTGAGAGAAACTTATAGTGGAAAACACACAAACACACAGACAGATAATACTTCTACATCAAATTGCATAGTGGCCTGTCCAAACTAAAAAAAGTATATTGCTGAATGTGATCCACTTAGCTAAACTCTATGATATGGGACTCTTACCCCAAATATTATTGGTTTGTCTACTGTCCGTCCATAACTTAGCCCAGCCCAGCCCGGGCTTTCAAAATCATTTTTTTATTGGTCTGCTGTTAGTAAGCCAGTAAAGGCCCAAAGGTTCGGTGCTGCCACCCGAGATTCCCCGAGCAAGAAAAGAATTTGAAAATAAAAAAGAAACTGAAAAAGGAATATAAATATAATTTTATAGATACAAGTTTTATAAATACATGTATAATATAGATAAAAAGAAAAAAAACTTGAGAAAAAAATTGAAAAAAAAACCCATGGGCTGGTCTGCGAACCGAACTGCACTAGGCCAGGTTAGACCCGCCCTAGCTCTATGCAGGCTCTAGGCCAGGCTGGGTCTAGCCCCAGACATGGGAACAGAATTCTCAGCCCTGCCTACCGAGACCTGCCTGGGTCCGAGCCTGAACCGGCCCAGCCATAAACCCCACCAGACCAGTTCATGGGTCAAGCCCAATCTGGGCCACGCCCACCCCAAGTCAATATGGACCATGTCCAACATGTAGAAACTTTAAGCTGCAATTTCCTTCACAATTTATATATATAATGGAGTATTTTATGTTCCTTTTGACAAAAACTAGTTGTTTTATAGATCATTTTACTAAAATTAGATTCTTTCACATATTTATAGTAAGAGATACACATTTATATGAGTCAAATATACATATATTCTGACAGACTATATCTATATAGCTCTGTTTTTGTCTCTACATTTTTTATAATTGCAGTGTTCCATCTGTTTCTATTTGCAGCCGCTTTCCATGACAGGTCTAAGCTGGCGCTAAAAAATTGTGAAGCCATCAATTCAATATTTACTTAAACCCATTTTACAGCAATTGTATCTATCTGCTGTTAGCTCCCGCTCCACTGCAGCTTCATCAGTATAAAATCGATCGGCACAGTACAGTAGTTATTCCATTTACCTTTTTTTATCAAGTCACACCTGCTAAAGTAACTGATTATCTCAATTTTCTTCCAATCACATTGATATTCACCGATTTATCAGTATTAAATTTATACTTGGCCACTGATTGACAACATAAAATTTGGTCCCCATGAAATACTTCTGAATAAAAACTAATCTCACAGGAGAATGAGAAGGGAGCAATCTAAAAATACACCTCCACGACACATGAAAGGGTGTGTACAGTTTCAGCATCAAATCAAAATGATTTCAGGCAAGTCACAAAAGAAAAGTAAACTAAAAATGAAAATAAGCATGACCGCAAATGTGAGTTGGTCTCTTTATAAATTAAGAAGCAATACACCACAAAGTAAACAAAGGAAGAAAGTACCATATTATCAAGGCTGCTGATAATGCCTCCACACAAGACAACTCACATGGGCGGCCATAGTTTACTGGATTTGCTGCTACCAACCACGGCACTGCAATCCAATGGAGTTTGCAGTCAGCCATCATGCCCCTCACATATGTGTCAGTAACTTGATATTCAAATGAAAGTTACTGAAGGATGTGGTTCAATTCTAATAAAAGCAAGACAATTTGCAAATTGAAGGAACATAAATGTTTTAAGCTACTTCCTTTTAACTTTTATTTTTTTGGGTGTTGATCATGCGGTGTGGTCCTCTAGGTTTCAAAACCAATCTCTCTTTTCTCCTCTAGCCTCCTCATTATCCCTGCAACAAGATCCTCTTTGGATAAGAAACTTGAATGGCAGGGAATTGCATAATGCTTTCCGGTTTTTTTTTTACAACTATTACTGGTTCTTCTGATGAACAGCAGGATAGACCATCAGATGTTATCATGCAAGAGGAATTAGATGACTCGCATCTCTATGCAAATTTGCAATAAAATTGGAGCTACAGTAGTTGGTTTAATAAGTTCAATTCTTTTGGGAAACATATTTCACTTTCAAGAAATACAATGTATATTGACAACTGTGTATAGGTCTCCAGCTGAAAAGAAAATTACTATCAAGAGAACCATGAAGCTCTAACCTATTATATGGGAATGGGGAAAACTAATCTACTCCTCTATACAAATGGGAGACCCCAAGGTTTACTATTCGTGATACAGTAATAATGTTACAGTAGCATTATTACTGTGGTGTTATTACTGACACTGTAGCAACAGGACACTGGATAGCATATCGTTTTTTGAAACTATGACTGTAGCACAAGGAATACTGTAGCATTTTTTAAAAATCTGCAGCAGAGGCAGGACTGTAGCAATGCAAAAAACTAAAAATATTACCGTGTCATTTAAAAAATTAGGATTACTGTAGCGAAAAAAAAAGATATGTCGTGCTTTGCACGGTGTTCACGACTAGTAAGATTTGGAAGTAAAACATAATTTTATATCTTCATCTTAAAAAATTGAGAAAATTATAAGTACTGTAAATGCCCCTCAAAACACGGCAGAACCTAGCATCTGGACGCTCATCGCCTGATTGCTCCAAAATGATAGCATATCTACAGAACTACTTGCCATGTCAAGATTCAAGTTACCATTTCTTGTTATCCGAAACTTGTGTTTTTCTCTAAAAAGATCAATGTGAAAAATATACCAAAAAGTAACTTTTTGTCCTGCTAAGTTAAGATGATGATTAAAGGATAAAAACAAAACAAAACTGAACTTTGTAGCTGAAAATTTTTATTATCGCAGTGATATTAGAGATCTTACAGAGGCGAGGAGCAGGGCATCTAAGCTTTACAAAAGGTACATCATTTAGGCGTGCCCATGAACAGTCCACTACAGCAAGCCCTTTCCTTTTAATTAAAGGATGATCTTCTCTAGAAACACATTGTTTGCCCACCGGACTACCAGAACAATGGAAAAACAAAGAACCATGTCAAAAGGGGTTCACATACTTATGAAAAACTGACATGAGATGAATGCAAACTCAAAGAATAACACAAATTTATCTGACATAATGTCATGAATCCAGTAAGAAGCAAGTAATAGTTTGTTTATACCTCATATTGCCTATCTGAAGCTGCTATAATGTCAATCTTATATGCATGGTGAAAACAATAGTTTTGATAAGGAAATTCTTATACCTGAGTGCAATGCCACCAAAACCGCTACTAACTCGCAACTCCTGTAAGATTTGATTGTACATTTGTTAGTAACCATTACTGACAATGGAGGAACATAGAAACTATCCCATTCACAATATGTCATATTACTGATTGCTCTATAAAATATTTTTAATATGGGAGAGACTTGGACTTTTTGGCTTTTGTCTACGACAAGTCCACAATTGATTGTATTGGGAATAAGAACTGAGTAAAAGAACCTTCTTTAAGCACGAAGTTAATACACAAGGAGAATAGAAATTGTGTTCTTATCTACAAAGCATAAATCATATAGAATGAAGTTTACTCAGATTTCCTTCCATCCACAAATTCATTGAAAGCCAAAAGGAAAGAAAGAAAGAACGAATAACTAGCTTTAATATAAAATCACACTTTCCTAACTCAACTACACTGGTGAAGGAATGGAATACATTGAACTTCTTCATTGTACCTATAAAGTTTACATGACTAACTATGTGACCCATGAATAGGAATGAGTTTACAACAAACAAAAGAAATTACGAATAAACTCCTTATCATCCATGTCATAATTGCAAACTCTGCTAGCTGAGAGATCCAAGAGTAGATCAGACAGTAACCAGTTGTAACTAGTCAGCAAACTGTTGCCAGTTCATAAACAACTTTATGTCAATGAACATGGCACTCATTCATGTCGACGTGTTGTGATTTTTGTATCTCCAAGGTTTCTTCTGCCTGATTTTGGAAGTCTTTATTTATATAAAAATTAATAACTCCCCGAATTTTGAAATAATTATACTGACGATATTATCATATAACACGGAGAACCATCTAAAAACTGTAAATAATGTACAAAAGCACAGCTGACTCTGTACCATAGATTTAAAAAACACACTAAGCCCATAATTGCAAACAGGCTCCTAAATATATACTAAATAACCAAGCATATGATCAAAAACTTGTAAAAATCCAACACTGTACATGTCCAAATACTATCCTTTAAGAAGCCAAATCTTGCAAGCTTGCGACCAGTGCATCTTTTCACATCACATTGTCCAAAATCCTGATACAAAACAAAAATAAGTGATATCCACTAAGGTAAGGGAATAATCAAGCTTACAATTCCTATACAATGAACATACCCACATTGCGAGCTGGATTGTTGGAGCTTCAGATTCATTGCTATCTTCTTCTGAAATAAGGCATCCACATAACTTGTCATTCACTGACTAGTTTACGGACAAAATAAAAAAAATTATCAACTGCAAATTCATCAACTGAATCTAAATAAAAACTCCAAGTATCCTATTTTTAGATACTAATAGAGAAACAAAGAGATAGTTTTGAGCATACACCTCATTGTGTCATTGTTCTCCGGCATAGCTATGTACAAAAGTACAGATGAACAGGCAGTAGACATCCAACACCGAGTCTTATCACACTTTATTGAAACTATTATGGTAAGCACACTAAGAATGACAGGTACAAAGTGAGCTCCAAGTTCTAATCCGATAAATGTTTGCTTACAGATCCCATGTAACATCCTGAGATTTAGTCCGACATCAGTGGGTGAGTTAGAGTTTGTAGTGCTTATAATGTACATTGTGACATTCATATGTCACATGATTAACCATTTTGGCAGTGAATTGAACTAAACAACGCGTTACACTCAGTAGATCTCACAGCTTATATCGCACCAATTTGCTCGCATACTTGGGGCATGACAAATGGTATCAGAGCAGTTGTCAGCCGAAAGTGTGAAACTAAGCGTTATGTGAGACAATGTGCTATACTGCGTGAGTACAGTGGGGCCACCTCTAGAACCCTATGAGCCACCTCTAGAACCCTACGAGGACGTCACATGTTTAAGATGGGGTGTTTACAAGATCCCAAGATTTAGTCCCACAACGGTGGGTGAGTGAGAGTTTGTATTGCTTATAATAAAAGTTGTGAGATTCAAGTATAAAATGGTTGACCATTTTAGTAGTGGATTGAGTCAAACAACACATTACACTCAGTGGGTCCTATGGTTTACATTGCACCAATGGGCTCGCAGGCCCATGCATGACATCCTGTCTAAGTTCTATTTAATTCTTCTTAAGTAAATATCACGACCCTCACTTTCTTGTTATGATCTTAATGGGTCCCATTGGGATAGCTGAACCTCCTAATTGATTTTGCATCACTTTAGAAATTATGGTTTTCCTGTTACATACTTATCCAACTTTGTTCTTCTTCGTTCAAATAGTAATCTTAGTCACTATGCTCATCCCCTCTATATATCAAGAAGCATTGTTATAAATAGCGGTAAATAGCGCCGCAATAGTTGTCTAATAGCATTAGCGGTCACTTCTCCCTACGCTATCGGCCAATAGCAGTGACATATTGCAAAATATGCGCTTTTCGCTGGCAAAAGTGGGTAATAGCGCGTCATAGCGGTGAATAACAGACGATTGCGGGCAAAATCCGTTTTATTGACCACTATTTAAAAGCGGTTTGAGGTTTATTTTTTTAAAATTAAACCTGCCCCACATTCACTGCCTCCCACTACCTCCCGCAATTTCTAGCGTATTCCCGCCGTCTCTCACAATCTTCGGCACCTCCTGCAGCACTTCCTCCCACCTCCTTTCGTCGTGAGCTCCTCCTACTACAGTCCTCTCTCCTACTACAGTCCTCTGCTCAGCTTATCTTCTCAAAGACGATTCTTTAACTCTTTCTCTAGTCATCTTCGGTATTATGTGATGGTTATATATCTATTTCATGTTTAGGATTGTCTTTAAATCATCAAATATGCACTTTTAGATTTTCTAGATTCTTTCTTTGATTTTTTTCTTATTTTTTTGAATATGTATACATATCTAAACTAGACCGCTATTTGACTTTGTGTTTTTTACCGCTATTTTACCGTAATAGCCCTAAATAGTCTTAGGGATGCCTCACCGCCACACGACGCTATCCGCTATCGTTAACCTTGTCAAGAAGTAATATGTAAATGTATACATTTGATTGCTAGGTAATGTGTTGTGTTTTAAGCTTGTCACCCCTCTTCTTAAGGTTTTTCAACCATCGAAGTATCGGACTATCGAAGCATAACGTACTATCCACTTTGTTGATGCAAACCAAAAGCACGTAACAATTATTGAAAATGCAAAAATATACTTTGGTAAAGGAACTTGTTCACATCTGTCGATTTATTGCATAAATAACAAGAAATTTACAGAGGTTATATCAGTGATATATTTGTCAGACTTATTGTCACCGACCTATATCACAAGGGTGCAGGTGTGAATATGGGTACGGGACAAGATAATTTTGTAAAAGAAAGGACATGGGGAAACGGCTATAGATATATATTGAAATTAATAATTTTGTTTTTTCATTCACATGATATGAAAACTGAAATTCCTTTAACATTTTAATGTTTCATTTATCTATCCGCTATCGTTAACCTTGTCAAGAAGTAATATGTAAATGTTATACATTGATTGCTAGGTAATGTGTTGTGTTTTAAGCTTGTCACCCCTCTTCTTAAGGTTTTTCAACCATCGAAGTATCGGACTATCGAAGCATAACGTACTATCCACTTTGTTGATGCAAACCAAAAGCACGTAACAATTATTGAAAATGCAAAAATATACTTTGGTAAAGGAACTTGTTCACATCTGTCGATTTATTGCATAAATAACAAGAAATTTACAGAGGTTATATCAGTGATATATTTGTCAGACTTATTGTCACCGACCTATATCACAAGGGTGCAGGTGTGAATATGGGTACGGGACAAGATAATTTTGTAAAAGAAAGGACATGGGGAAACGGCTATAGATATATATTGAAATTAATAATTTTGTTTTTTCATTCACATGATATGAAAACTGAAATTCCTTTAACATTTTAATGTTTCATTTATTAAGTGGATTATAAATTGGAAAACTGCTTGTTTTTGGACTAGATACCTAAATGACCCTTTAAAATCATATTTCTAATATGGTATGGTTGAAAAGAACCCGATCCGGTGTCTAGTGAGTTGCAGGAAGTGGATGTGAAGTATAAGATATACATCCAAGAAGTGCAAAATAAGTGTTTTGAACTAAAACATGTATATATAATTGAGTACACATTTGAATAAATATATGAATATTCAAGGAGTGCCAAAGGACTGTCAGAGTTGGATTAGGGTACAGGAGCCCATACGAGGTGTCGGGGCAACTTAATCATTGACCAAAAGATGTTAGCAGCACACAAGCGCACATAAACACAAAATGCTGATGTGCTAAAGAGAGACTATTAACTCCAAATTTATGCAGTAACACATGGAGGTTGCTTCAAATCTATAAGATATAAGAACATGCAGGATGTAAATCTCTTAGAAGAAAAATGAAATACCATGAAATTGTTTAAAGTCATTATATGCAAGTACTGGATGGAGCAGACATTCGGCGCTTATTATGTGAACTGATAAAATCTTCAGAGACTAAAATAAAACCTGCCACTACATTTGCAACGGCCGCAAAAGAGCTCTTTCATTTCATCAAACTAATCTCCAAATTTCGAATTTATCTACGCTCGCTAAAACACAGGATTTGACTGAATCTGAACTTTTGAGCTCCCTTTTCATTTTGAAGCCGGTATGTACTGAACTAATCTATTATTCAACTGATAAAAACATTATCAGTCATCTGTCGTGCAAGCAAAGCTCCAGTAACAACGATAGGAACAGGACATAAATCACATCACAGCAAAATAATCATAAAGATTGATTATTTGTTGTGACCCATGTATTACAAATCCAAAACCCAGAATATAAAACAATTGCATGCTGCATATTTTTTTGCATACCTCCTTCATTGTTTGGAAGAGAGCTGTCAGTGTTGTCATCCCTGAATGAATGCAACAGGTAAGAACCCATTAGAGCTAGTACTAATCAGTTCAATAAAAGAACAAGCCTAACACTATTTAATCCATTTGGGCTCCCCCTCTCTCTCTCTCTTTTATCAAGAAAAAACCCAAAACAAATCTGATTTCTTATTCAAAAAAGATAGGAGAAAAAAGTTGAAACTAAAGTGAATATGGATAAAAGAACCAAGAGAAAGGAAATCACCACGATACATGCCGCTTACTACTGGACTGCTCCTTGCGGGACGACCGGTCGCCGGACCGCCGTTGCCGGTTGTTTCCCATCGGAGGAGGATGATGCTCAGCGCCGCCGCTCGGGGGGAGAAAAAGGAGAGGTTTCTGTATTTTTTGTGGAAATTTTTTGGAAGTAAGAAGGTACCGCTTCAGCCCAACTGTAGTTGCGGATGACTTTAGGCCCAATGGGCGTCCACCACTCGCAAGACGTAGTTTAAGATAACTAAGCCCAAGCCCATGTGTACCCGTATGTGAGACGCAAATTTTAAATATTTCCATGAAATGTCATCGCAATGTGTATCGTAGTTTAAGAATCACGGAAAGGATAAACTTGAAGAACTCAAAAGATTATCATTTTAACTCTATCTATCTCATATTCTCCATAACCACCCCCTATTAACTACCACTAACTGCCTTTAATATCCTTACTCATCCATCTATCTAACTTCTCATCATTTTTTAACCTAAAGGTTTAATTACGAATGTCAACGTAGTGTGCACAAGAAATACTAATGGTGTAATTACAAGGAGTGACCCTAAAGTCTGCATATCTACATAGTAACTTTAAGGTGTGTTTGGCTACTGTCTAGAACAAAATCAGGCTTGAACCTGATCCAGTTTTAGACTATTTTCTTGATTGGTAAAAATTGGTTTAGAAGTAAACTCGTTTACTTTAGTTTTTTTTAGGCATCTAAACCGGTTTAGTTGTAGAACCTGAGGGAGTTGGTTCCCAACTAAAATAGTGCTTTCAAAACTGGTTTTAAATCAGCGTAGCCTAAATTCAGTGAGTTGTCAAACACAACCTTAAGGTTACATGTTATAATTATATGTGAGTACCCTAGAATATGTTAGCAAGTTAATATTAGTTACTTTTTTGCCGACTCAAAGTTCTTTTAGATGGTAGTTAGGATTAGGGTTAGGGTTAGGGTTATGATTAGGGTTATTATAAAAAAAGTTAATGATTATTAGAGTTTGGCCTAGGATTATGATAATGAAACTTACAGTGAGTTATATCATAACTCTAATCCTGAGCCCAAAACTACCCCTAACCCTAGCTTCCTTAACTCTTATGCTAATCTGACATACATCAAAAACTCTAAATTAGTAGCCCAAAAAAACTTGCTGAAAAATTCTAGGGTCATCAGCATAATTACAGATAGAAATTTTAATATTATCTATGTAGGTAGGCAGACTTCATGATCATCATGTGATTACACCACATTTCAGGATGTTGAAATATAATTAATCCCTTTCCAAAGGGTAAATTTCATAAACCGGCCGTCAAAATCATAATTTATAGCTAAGAAGTGAAGGGGTACATACAACTTAAAATAATGATAGAGACACACATCCAACCACACTCCCTCTTTCTCTATAGTGGTAGTGGACCCTGCATGATATTTTAAAAAAATATCATGCAGGGCCCACTACCACTATAGAGAGAGAGGGAGTGTGGTTGGAGGTGTAGTCGGAGGTGTGCCCCTAGTGGGACTCTACAACTTAAATGTTCAATTTCATACCGTTTGTAATGCATTGAAGATTGACAATATATATCATTCAATGCCCGAAATCATTATCTAGTCACTCCAATTTTATCACATGACATGTCTTATTACTGTCGGAATAAAAACTTTACAAAATTGGAGTCACAGTGATGGTCTCAAAAACCAACATCACAAGCATATCTCGAGCCGAACCAACTTGAATTAGGCTCATTTGGCGACCACAAAACTAAAAATTTTAATTTAAACATGGTCCACTATTCTATTTGGAACTTTTGCCATTTCTAGCGTGCTCATTTATTATTAGTGCAAAAAGCTCTTCGACAATCGCCATCAAAGTATCAGGTTGGGTGACGAAATCTAATGGAGTACAATCACTAAAAATTAATAAGATCATGAGGGGTATCTTTCCCAAGGACCCAATCTCCAATAAGATATTAATTAAGGAGTTTGGAACATTTGACGCAGAGGAGGAGGAGGAGCCCTGATGCGTACCCTCCACCTAATTTACACAAACAATTTAAGATGCAAAGGGCATGTTTCTCAACGTGCAGAACAACTAATATCTACGAGTTGAGTGGTCATGTTTTCTGGCCTTTAACCAAATCCATACACGTTGTTTTTTTTTTTTTTTTTTTTCTTAATTATTTTTTTTAATGGACAGGTAAGGCCACATGTGAATGTCACCATATTGCATTTATAGCGTTGAAAAGCCCCCATTTCAGAATTTGAAGGAGCACTTGACCCCGCGAGCCCATGTTAGGGATAAAATTATAACCTGCAACTTTCACTAGTATACTTAAGTTTTGCTGCGACGGAAGGGTAATTTGACAATATATAAGCGGAAACAATTTATTAATTGTCCTTTTCTTTTCATGTATGCAAAGATGAATTAAGTTATAGTCGTGTAAATTTATTATTTACTTAAAATTGGTAGAAACATTTTAAAGATAAATTTGTTATGTGTAGAAGTTTGTTGGTTAAATCAATACTCTCTAACTTCGCTAGAGCGTAAAATCTTCTCTAGTGCTCTAGAGAGTGACCTTATTTTGAAGGGTCTAATTATATTCCTAAGCAACAAGGGAAGGTTTTTTGAACTAGGAATATTTAATTATTGAATTTGATGATGTACCTATCATTAAACATGATGTATAACTATTCTAACAATAGCATAGAAACGATATTTTGGCCTATTTCTACACGTTTTCCTATTTCTTTTCTAAATTTTATTCTACCTCTTCTATGCGGCCATTAAATAGACAATTTTACTTGATTTTCTCATCCATCAATTACAAGTGAGGTAATTGAAGGCATACACTTTCTCTCGGCCTTTCGTGTACAATTCTCATCTTCTTATTCTTTCAAGTATACATATTCTCTCAAAAAAGTATACATATTTTTAGTGATGTTCATAAAAACCTCTTTAAAATAGAGCAAATTGATAGAAAACATCTTCACATGTTATTTGGAAAAAATGTGTCTAGACCCTAAAATAGAACTCTCATGTGATCCAATTCCTTTTGGTTTGGGTCATGTGCTTAGTCCCCATGCGTGAATCAAGTTCTCACGTGAAAAAGCCCTCTTCAACACATATTTGTCTCTCATCCCCAAAGTATCCTTTTATCTTCTTCCTCCTCTCCTCATTCCTCTGAAAAAGCCCTCTTCAACACATATTTGTCTCTCATCCCCAAAGTATCCTTTTATCTTCTTCCTCCTCTCCTCATTCCTCT